ATTATCGAGGTGGACATAATGCCCATGCACTTAGACCTGTTGGTCCATTGTGCGCACCTCATACTGAATTGTCTTGATTCGGTTTACCCACCTAAGTGTTACCACCAAAGTGTTAATACATTACATTTTAGAAATTACATACACATTAAAATATAACCAAAAAATTTGGAATTTTATAGACTGATAGTAGACTATACATATAGTCAAGAAATTAATAAATAACAAATTCAAATTATTTAAAACTCATTAATGATAAAATAATTACCTTCTCAGTTTCGTATCAAATATTATAGAATATTACTTATAATAAATAAAGTAAATTACTAATTAAATATGTTTAAAAATATAATTGAAATAAGCAAACATAGTTTTATTTGGCAAAATCGTTGTTTCACCTTAATAATACAATGAAAAATAAACATAATAAAATCAAAACCAACAATAATTTTTAATGAGTACAATAAAAAAATGATCAAGCAATCAAATAATTTGTTCCAGTAACAAAAATATAATTGAATTAAATCAATTATACTTTTTTATTGTTAAAATTAACAATAAAAACAATTGTTTACTGTATTTTTTTTTTAGTGAAGTCAATTTTGATTATTGCTCTTACTCTTATACGCCGTCCTATTTAAAAATGACTATATAAACTTACTAGTGATCAATAATGTATAATAAAATATACCTTTATTAAAAATGAAACACGTTATAACCAACAAAAGAGATATCAAATGCCAATTCTAGAATTAAGTAAAATATTTTTTTAGATTTTAATAAAATATAAAGTAATGTTAAGTNAAATATTTTTTTAGGTTTTAATTAAATATAAAGTAATGTTAAGTGTATTACTCACCTCCATTTTTACTCTAAGTGTAATATTCTGAATAACTAATGAGAATATTTGAGTTAAATTTATGTATATATTTAAAAATTAGTGACATCATCAATAATTTTTTTCATTATTTTCTTTAAAAAAAAACATTAAGTAAATTTAAATAAAGTATATACAGGGTAATTCTGATAATTTAGCAAATTTAATAACTTTATATTTAAGTTTTTGTTTAACTATTATTTTTATGTTTAATGTTACTTTGTAACATGAAATATTTGCTGATTAAACTGTTATCTTTTTTTTTTTGAACATTGTGAACCACTCTGTATACTTTATTATTTTATATAAGTATTAATTATTACATGAATTAAAATGTGATACTATAATATGCACCACGATCTTTTTTTTTCACATGTCCTCATGTGAACCTATTACAGAAGTTATAAAGACAAATGTTTAAAATTAATAATTGTATATATAAAGGTATTCAAGTGATATAACGACATAATAGTATAAAATATAGTTTTAATAAATAAATATTGTCATGTATGTTAGTTATATGTTGGTTATACAAAATAGATATATTAATTTTAGCTAAATTTATTATATATAATGATTTACTTAAGATTAAATTATGAGATTTTTTTAGTAAATGTGTTCGGTGATTCGGTTTTTTAATTGACAAACATTTAATTAGAATCACTTACAATGAACGTTTTATTTTATTTTGTCTTTTATAATTTTAATGAAAAATTTTTTTTAATATGTTTGTAAGATTAATGTTACAATTTCAATGATGTTATCTTTTTAGAAAAATACAATTCGAGTTAATTTATGATTAAATAGATATTTTGTGTAAAGAGGGTAATTCTAAATTTATTTATATAAAAAAAGATATGATTTAACTTGAATTTGAGTTGTCGTTGATTATTCTGTTGTAGCCGTGATTTTGGTGAAATTTAAACTATTGTACTATTGTTTCACTAGGTTTGTTGAACCGGTGTAGCTGTTTTGCTATATATTTTTGTTTTTCTTGTTTCTAGTTCTAAATTTGTATTTAAATGTATTGTTTTTAAGACTGTATTAAGATATTGTTTTTCTTTAGATAATGTCGCAATCGGGTTTTCTTTCTTGTGCCATTTAATATTTTTCTCATTTTGTTTTTTATATTTTTGATACTTCTTGTGTCAATTTCTATAACTTTTATATTAGTTGGCGAAGAGGGCCGGAGAGGTGGAGGATTTGTGAATTGGTTGGTATTATGATATAAATGTATTTTATCTTCTTCTAATCATTTGCTGTGTAGTCGTCTTCTTTCCTTCATGTTGTTTTTGTCAGGTAATAGTGGGTCTCCTCTGGAAACTCTCCGCAATTTTCAGAATCCATGGTCCGTAATCATAGTTGTTTTCTTGAATTGTAGTCTCTCCCCTGAATATAAGTCACATGGATTCAGATTCATTCATACGTAGTTCATGTCTTATCATGAACTTTTGGAGCTTTGTTATTTCCTTTATATCATGACAATCCAGACTTTAATAGCAGATTATTTCGCGTTGTTGTATGTCAACCACTGCTATGATCCAGTGATTGTGGTTAACATGTATTGGAGCTAGTGCCATGGTTTTTAACAGAAGATTTTCTTTGAATCTTGTGTTGATGGTGTCGAGTCCTCTTCTATCAATTTCAGGAATGAAGAAGGCGTCAAAAGCAAAAATTCTGTCTTCACTTCTCCTCATTAATAGTTTCATGAAGCGATTGATGGTTTCATCATTATATAGCGATGTGTTTATGATGAGAGACATTTTTGATGCTTTAAACCTAGGAAATTAAGTACAATAGTTTAATATTTTGTTATTTGTTGATTTGAAGGTGATGAATTGATTTTTTTTTTGTTTTTTAACATTAAATGAAACTTATATTTGTATAACTACATTTTTGATAATTGAACAAGTTAAAATAAATAATAAAAATAAAATAGTTTTTATATATAATGATAAAATAAAAATTAGATTTTAGCTTATACATATATGTTTGAAAATGTAGATAAATATATTCCATTTATAAGTAATATCAAACTACGATTAAGTTATGATCAAAGTCTTATGTTTATGACCAATAATACAAACGTGAAATTAGGCTATATATATTTCTTTGTTTTTATAATTAGTGTTAAAGTTATATAAAATAAAGGTTCTTAATTTAAAGTTAATTAAATCCAAAAGTATCAAAATTATAGTTGGAATATGTAAAAATTGTTTTTTTTCTTTTTATAGTTATTTAAGTTATATAAGAAATTTTAAATCTAAAATTTAATTATAAGTAAAAATTCCTCTTAATTTTTTTTTTTTTTATGTTTTTTTGTAATTATTGACATTATGTTATATAAAAAATTTTAAATCTAAAATTAAAATGAAATCTTAAGGGAACAATATCCAAATTTATATTAAAAGAATTTTTTATAATTTTAAATCAAAGGTTAATTAAATCTAGAAGCAAATATTAAAATTATCATTAGAATATAAAAAATGTTTTTATAATTATATTGAAAATTTCTAGATCTAAATTTAATTTAATTTAAAAGTAAGAGTATTAAAATTATAGTAAAAATTGTTTTTTTTCTAAATGTTAGAATTTTTCAAATCTAAAATTAAAATATCAATTTATATGGAAAATAAAAATTTCTAAATCTAAGGTTAGTTGAATTTAAAGGAAAGAGTGTTAAAATTATTTCGAATAGAAAAAAAAACACTTTTTTAAAAATAAAATTAAAATATCAAATTATATGAAAAATTTCTAAAACTAAGGTTAGTTGAATTTAAAGGTAAGAATGTTAAAATTATTTTGAATAGAAAAAAAAAACTTTTTTTAATCTAAAATTAAAATATCAAATTATATGAAAAATTTCTAAAACTAAGGTTAGTTGAATTTAAAAGTAAGTGTATTAAAATTAAATTGAATAAAAAAAAAAATTTTAAATCTAAAGTTTAAATATCAAATTATATAAAAAATAAAAATGTCTAAACCTAAGGTTAGTTGAATTTAAAGGTAAAAATAATAAAATTATAATAAAAATTGTTGTTTTTTTTTTTATAAATGTTAAAATTATATATTAAAAAAAAAAATTTAAATCTAAAATTAAAATATTAAATTATATGAAAAATAAAAATTTCTAAATCTAAGCTTAATTGAATTTAAAAGTAAGAGTATAACAATTGTTTTTTTTTATAAATATTAAAATTATATTGAATAAAAAAAAAAATTTTCTATTTTAAAATTATATTCAAAAAGAACATTTTTTACCATTCTTCTTCAGGAATGACTGTGTCTTCAGGGAAGTCACTATGGTGTTTGGGATATTGATTCTCAAAACAATTTTTAATATATTTTATAGTATTATTAAAGTTTTTAATTTATACGAATTTATAAAGATAATAATTAATGCTGGCGCTATCTATTATAAGATGGTGTTTGAGGATGACTTTTTTAAAGTCACGTTGTGAATCTAAATACCAAATATCATTCTCATCAACCGATTTTTTAGTGTTGTTGTTTTGTATTTCTACGTCATATTTATCTAAAATTCGAATCTCAGAAAAGTCTGTGACAGCGCCAATTTCTAAGACTATGTAAATTAAATTAATCCAATAGTTTGTGCTGATTCTTTTTGGTGACATTGCTACATTTTTGTTAGCTAACTCTCAACCATTCGACTTGACCCCAATCACTGTACATTTCTACCCGGTGTGTACGCTAGTCTTAGTTGAAACTCTACATCATACTTAGAGTAGTAAGAGAGTCGCTCACTTAGCCAAGCAATTGGTTTGTTTTTAAAATAATTTTTTACATCCGATTCCCAAATATTTTGATTATCTATTAAATGATAGTTTTGATATCTAATTTGCCGTATTTTGCATTTATGACATAGAGTTTCCTTGGTACATGTAATGTTTTTTGTTGACCACCACGTTTTTATTTCATTTGTTTGACCACACGAGTGAACCATATTGTCGATTATATTTTTATTTTTATATGTTAGAAAGTTGTTTAGTCAAATATTTACTTACGGATTTTGATTCTTCTTGATGATATCTTGGTGTGGTGTACAATTTTATATAAGTTTAGGTGCGGGTAGTTAAAATGCAACTGACTGGCAAAGAGATAGCTGTAGTTTTTCACGAATCCTTTGGCCTTTTTTGAGTTGTTATTCTTTTTTTTTTTTTATTAGAGGGGTTGACCTATATTGGTGTTTATGGCTATTGAAACTGTGGTTTTTGTTAATAACGGTTAAGGATTTCTCTTCAGGGTTGCGTGGTTTTGTTACAATTCAATAGTAATGTTGGATTATAAGGTGTAAAAGTAGGTATACCTGCTAATTCTTCTGTATTTTTCTTATTCTAATTCTTCTGTAGTTTGATATGTAAAGGTGTTAGGTGAATATCCTAGTTCAATATCATCTATTGGTTTATGGATGACTTCTTTTATGACATTAAATTGTTCTAGATTTGGATAGTCATTGATTGCACTGACTTGTCTCAAAGCTCGATATCTATGTAGGTTAAATAATTTGTCAATGTGCATTATGTGAAGCGTAATTATAGGAATGCTATATCTCTATAATGTGAAGAGAAAAAAAGATGAGAATGAATAAGTTGAGTTTTTTGTTTATTATTGATTAAAAATTATTATTATTTTTTTATATTAGTAGTTATTTGTGTACTATTTTGAATTCGTGTATTAAATCTATGTTTTGTTTTCAATAATTTGTTGTGATACCGTTCATCGCTCAAATTTAATATTATTCGCAATGTTTATCACAAAATAAAATAATTATTTTAAATTAATATTATAGCATAATCACTGATGTAATTAATACAATCTATGTACTTGTTCAGTTTAAGATTAATATCTGTATCATAAATGTAAACACTGTAAATTAATCTACAAAGACAATGTATTAAGTAACAGTATCCCTAAGAAAAATCAAATGTACCATAACCAATGTAATATATTATCCCTGCTTATAATTTTCGTTTCAATAAAGATGAGAGCCCTGGTGGTCAATCTTACATTTTGGTGACATACAGGGTGGCCCACCACTCACTGACAACTTAAATAACTTTTGATCCAGTTAATATTTTTAGCTGATTTTTTTTTTTAATAATAGTTAAACGTTAGGTCCATAGCTATATCTCAATAATTAATTTTTTTACATTTTATTAAAAATATTAATTATTTTTAAATTTTAAATAAAATGTAAAAAAAAAATCTAAGATAGCTATTTTGTAGAGTAGAATTTAAGAAAAATTTTAGTAAAAAAATATCTTATTAATATTCAGTAGTAAATATTCTGTAGCGTTTTGAAGTTTGTGAAAATTTGAATTTTCATGTATTATTTTACGGTATTAAACATTGAAATACGTATTGAGAAAAGGACAGAAGAAAACGCTATCTTTTCAATATACTTTTGAATGAGAGTGATAAGTAATAATTGCCTTATCTAATTTCTTATCATGGTATTAATGCCAAGTTTGTAATGTATACACATTATCATCATATGTATACACAGTAATCATGAAAAGATAGCGTTTTCTTCTGTCCTTTTCTCAATACGTATTTCAATGTTTAATACCGTAAAATAATACATGAAAATTCAAATTTTCACAAACTTCAAAACGCTACAGAATATTTACTACTGAATATTAATAAGATATTTTTTTACTAAAATTTTTCTTAAATTCTACTCTACAAAATAGCTATCTTAGATTTTTTTTTTACATTTTATTTAAAATTTATAAATAAATAATATTTTTAATAAAATGTAAAAAAATTAATTATTGAGATATAGCTATGGACCTAACGTATAACTATTATTTAAAAAAATCAACTAAAAATATTAACTGGATCAAAAGTTATTTAAGTTGTCAGTGAGTGGTGTGCCACTCTGGATATAGATCATAGATTTCATTTAAAAAGCCATAAAAAGCTATACAATTTACTCACTTAGCTCAACTCACTCATTCCATTTTTCAAGTGAAGAATCAAATACACCAATTGACCGCCAGTCTCAAATATTCAAAAGAAAACCTGTCAGTCTTGTTCATTTCAATTCCGCAGAAAATATTATAAAGTAGATGATACATCGTAATATCAATAATTATTTAATCCGAGAAGAGAATGAAAAAACAATAATAATTAATTTTTCTATCTTATAAAAATTTATTAACTGGTTTGTCAGGAGAATTATTAAATGCGTTCGAAGTGCTTGACCAAAGATCGTACCTACGTATTTTCTTATTACGTTTCATAGTTTGCCGACCTAAGCTCGTCCTCTTTGAAACGTGAGACTATTCAAATGATTTACCAAATTTTATAAATTTGATACATACATTAAATTTCTATACTCATCATAACCCTTTTAACTGATTGTATTGTCATTCTCTAAAGTTTAGAGTCTAAACCCTCGGACTCCACGACCCCAATAATATTAAACAAACTGAATTATAGTAACCGAAAGTAAGATGATTAAATTTATTCAAGTGCTCAAAAATTCAAATTAATTAACACACCCAATTTTATTTATCTTATTATATCATACCTAAAACCTTACTTTTGGCTCACTATAAAGATGACGCCCAACCAACAGGCTTAGTTAATTTAACTATAGGTTAGAAAATATTTTTTTTAAACATTTAAAGTATTTTAATTTTTTTTTCTCCTTAAATCTTATAAATTGAACGGTTTCAAAAATATAAAACTTACAAAAATATTTTTCCTTTGATTTTAATAAAAAAATTCTGTAATAAATATTTAAAACAAAAAGAGAAAAAAAAACCAGAACTAACAGTCTAGAAATTATTAAAATCTGAATAACTAGAAAAACTTTTGAGTGATAATTTAGTAAAGGAAGTGAACAGAAGTAAATCAATGTAGAAATTAATTTGCTAAGGAAAGAATGAAAGAATGTTTTCTGTTTGAATTATTATAAAAAATGTTTAAATCGCGTTCCTTGAAATTATTTATATGAATTAAAAATTTAAAATACGTTTATTAAAATTATTTAAATTATTTGTTCAAATTAAAAATTTAAAACGCGCTCATTAAGATTATTGATATTATTTATTTTGATTATTATAAAATCATTTTTAAATCGCATTTCTTGAAATTATTTATTTGAAGTAAAAAAAAATTTAAATCACGCTTATTGAGATTATTTGTTAGAATACTTATTGAAAAATAAAGTCGTGCTAACTTAAGTTAGTTGAAATCATATAAATACTCGCGCCTCTTCAAAAATTTATTTGCTATCAAACAATTTTTTGGGAGTGGTATTATTATTAATAGCGTCTATTAAAATTATTTGTTTGAAATGCTTGAAAATTGAAAAGCATGCATCATTATTATTACAATTAAATTACGTTAAAATTAAAAAATTATTTGAATTTATTTGAACTATACTGCATGTATTTAAAATAAAAATTGCACGAAAAATAAAATTTCATTAGAATTAAAAATTTAATTGCAATCATTAAAACTAAATCAAATTGCGCGTACTTTTTAAATTAATCTAAAACAAACTTGCTAAATTAAAATTGAATTACACTATATAGAGCGAAATATAACACAAAATATTTTTTTTTTTAAATAAACAATAAAATAAAAGGGACAGAACATTTAATATTATGACAGAGGAATCACAATCAATTAATATCGAAGGGGTGCCATAACAATATAAAAATATTTTAGTGGTAAAATTCTTTAAAAAAACCGAACTTTATGGTTACCGAAATAAAAATAAAAATTTTTGAAACGAATGGTACAGTGTCAGAACTAAAATTAATTATTTTGGTTTTTTCTACCAAAAAATTCGACTAGGACTGAAAATAAAATAGATATTGATCATAATAAAGAATCACCCAGAATTATTAACAATTACAATATGAATAAAAATCTATTTTTCAAACCGACTACTTTTTCGGGTGGGATAAATGAACGTACAGATTCATTTTTGAAAATTTTTAATAGAGCAGCCGCAGTTAACAATTGGTCAGAAATCGTTAAACCGCAATACTTCGTAGCATTTTTACATGGCCCAGCTCTAACATTTTATGATAACATTGAATCTTAAAATTTATCCTGGAAAGAATTAGAGGTAAAACGTAGAGAAGAATTTGAACCGATAGCACAAAATGATATGTTAAGAATTGTATAAGAGAGAAAAAAGCAGGTAGATGATGAACCAACGGGTGTATTCATCAATGAAATAGAGGCATTATGTAAAAGGGTAGATAAAAACATGTCAGAGGAAGAATTAGTTCGAAACGTGATGAAAGGTTTAAAACCAAGTATTGCAAGATACATTGGAATTCTTGAAAATCGAAATTTAGACGAATTAAAAAAAAATATTCACAAGTATGAGAAGGTAGAATTTATGATTATTGGAGAAACAGCTAAAAGTCCGTCTGAAATAAAACAATCAATTATAACTGAGAAAATTAATCAAATAGCTAACTTTAATGATAATGACGAAATAAAAAAGTTGAATGATGAAATTTCCAATTTAAAACAAAATTTTAGTGAATATATTAATTTTATACCTAAAAGTAATCAATTTCAAGATAATTCTAATTTATTCAATATAATAATCAATATCAAAATAACAATAAATTTAATAATAATATTCCTCGATATAATGGTAACCAATTTCAAAATAACATAATGAAACCTAGAAATAATTTCTCTTCTAATAATAATCAATTTCAGCATCAATAAAAAATAAGAACAATTTTTATGATAATAAGCAAAATAATTTTAATAAAAATAATCGAATGAATTGGTCACAATTTAATAATTATAATAGGTGTAGAGTTGAAGGTTACGTATAATAACGACTATCACATTGTTGTTATTATTAAAACAGCCTACGCGTTCGCAAAATTTCCGCTATACAATAAGCTCAGTAATTTTAACTAACTTTCTTTGCTTCTAACAAACACAGATCGTTAATTTCTATGAATTTCACTTATTATTAATTAATATTTCCTTATATAATTATTTAAGAAAAGGAAAAGTTCGAATAAAACGCCGTGTCTGATTGCTTAATTAAAGAAAAATATTGTTAACAAAAACAATAAGTCCAAAATAAAAATCTTTATAACGTGTCAGTAGGTAGACATATAGTGTCTCCAATAACACCGTACGTACCCACTGAGCGTAGGTTTGGTCACATTAACTTGGACATCGTCGGACCGCTGCCTCCATCGAAGAGAAACAAATACTTAATAACATGTATAAGACCGCTTCACCCGCTGGCCGATAGCGTGGCCCGTGGACAATATGTCGGCCCATACAATCGCTAGTTCGCTCGTCGCCAACTGAATTTCGCGTTTCGGGTTACCTGATCTTATAACGACGGATCAGGGACGGCAATTCGAATCGGAACTTTTCAGTGCGTTAGCAAACACGTTCGGAATACGTCATATACATACATCACCTTACCACCCTCAGTCAAACGGTATGGTTGAATGATTTCATCGTACGCTGTAAGCCGCTCTCACTGCACACGGGTCAGCCAGCTGGAGCAAGAAAATACCTGTCGTGTTGCTCGCGTTGAGATGTACAGTAAAAGAAGAAATCAACGCGGCCCCGGTAGATTTAGTGTACGGTATGTCACTACGTCTTCCGGGCGAATTCATTCATCAAGCACCTGCTACGGTTCGCCCACCGGATCTGGTCAGTAAGCTAAAACAAGCTATGTCCGAGTTGATAAAATCAAAAATAGTTATTGTTATTTAAAACCACCAATAATTTTTTGTTATTACAATAAATAAATTATCAAGCAAAGAAATATTTCGATCCAGTAACAAAAATATAATTTATTTATACCAATAATACTTTTTTATTATTAAAATTAACAAAAAAAAAAAAATTGTCTACTGTATTTTTTTTGGTGTAGTCATTTTTGATTATTGCTCTTACTCCCAAACATCGTCCAATTTAGACGTTATTTGATAAACTTAATAGTGTTAAATAATGTAAAATAAAATTTACCTTTAATATATATGAAGCATGTTATTATCAAAAAAAGAGATATCAATTGGCAATTCTAGAATTAAGTAAAATATTCTTTTAGATTCAATAAAAGGTAAAGTAATATTAAGTGTATTACTCACCTCCATTTTTACTTTAAGTGTAATATTATGTATAACTAATGAGAATATTTAAGGTAAAATGATGTATATATTTAAAAATTAATGACATCATTTATTTTATTTAAAAAAGAATATTTTGAGTAAATTTTAAAGTATATACAAGGTAGTTTCTGATATTTTAGCAAATCTAATAAACTTTGATTCAGCGAATCAAATGTTACATTGTAACATGAAGTAATGTGAATATTTGTCGATTTATATATATATTTTTTTTAAACATCGTGCACCACCCTGTATACTTAATTAATTTAGTTGACCTATTCATACACATGTAATAAAAGCTAGCCAAATAGCAATCGTCATAACACATTCTTGATTTTATAACACCAAAACAACATTCATTGTTTAACTTCAGGGGCTTTGACATATAGAAGAAAAATTGCTGGGACAATTTATTTTTATTTTTAACTTTTAGTATGTAACATAGACTTTAATTTAATGAACTTTTTGTATTTCTGAAAAATGTTCAAATGTTAAGTGGAAAACTTTAACTTTTCATGTAAAAGTAGTTATTTCCAATTCCCCTCTGTGCGCAGATAAAGGGACAAATTTTCAAAAAAAAAAAAATATATATATATATATATAATAAAGGCGAAATACTTAAGATAATTATTAAAACAATTATTCTGACTCGTTTGCTTTTCAAAATACTATGACTTTAAAAAAAAAAATAGTTTAAAAAATATCTAACTTAAACAATTTTAAGAATTGTAATTTTTTGGGGATTTCCTTTTTTAACGGAGAACGAGGGAAAATATTTTAATTTTGAGGTTAATGTCTTTAACTAGATACAATTTTTAATATAAGAATATCAAAAGATTAGTGTCACTAGTTTACTATATTTAAATTTGATTTGAATTAGTATTGAAAAAAAAAAGTTCCAATAGTTTTAAAATGCAAAAAATGTTTTTTTAAAATATATCGACTAAAATATTTAAAAATACAGTAAATATAATATTAAATAAATTTTATACATTTCTTAAAATAATGTTTTTTTTTCATTTTCATCGATAATTGGAACCAATTGGATAAAAATCGTGTTCTTTTGACGTATTATTAATTGAAATCGGTATAATGAGGTCTGAATATTTTAATTTATTGAGTCAATTCAAAATTATTATTTTATAAAGTGAATATATTAACAAACGTGTTATTATTTAAAAATACATTTAATTTAACGTTAATATACATGGTAAATTGCGTCAGAGCATATTTTTGTGTTACATTTTACTGCATACCAGAAAAAATAATAAAATTAATCGATTTGGTTTCATTTTATTATAATTCGTGTTCAATTTACTGCATACCAGAAAAAATAATAAAATTAATCGATTTGGTTTCATTTTATTATAATTCGTGTTCAATTTACTGCATACCAGAAAAAATAATAAAATTAATCGATTTGGTTTCATTTTATTATAATTCGTGTTCAATTTACTGCATACCAGAAAAAATAATAAAATTAATCGATTTGGTTTCATTTTATTATAATTCGTGTTCAATTTACTGCATACCAGAAAAAATAATAAAATTAATCGATTTGGTTTCATTTTATTATAATTCGTGTTCAATTTACTGCATACCAGAAAAAATAATAAAATTAATCGATTTGGTTTCATTTTATTATAATTCGTGTTCAATTTACTGCATACCAGAAAAAATAATAAAATTAATCGATTTGGTTTCATTATATTATAATTCGTATTCAATTGACATTTGAATTCAGCAAAAAACGTCTAAATAAAAATGTTGAAACGCTAAGTAAAAGTTGAAAATGTCATTGTCTTCTATGTAAATGTTTAAATGGAAACTAAATTTAACTATGTAGTAACTATTATTTACGAATATCTTTCTTACTTAAAAAAACTTAGAGAGTGAAAAGGAATTTTTTTTTTTATTGTTATCTGTTATATATAGTTGTTCAATAAGTTCGGAAACACCAATTTTTTAGAGCTATTGATTTTTTTAATAATTTTTTTTTTAGAGGCTAATTGATTAATTAAATGAATCTTTTACGATTAAAATTAAAGTTCAACCCTAATGTAAAAGGGTAAAAATCTATCCTAAATTAAGAAATATAAATGACAACCCCTATTTTTCTTACTCATTTGAATAGAGAATTCAATTTTAAAAAAACCCAGCACAGTGGGGTCTCGGCATAGTGGAGACGTTGCATAGTTGTGTCCAGTATAGATNGTCGAGGCACAGTGTGGACGAGGCATAGATGGGACAAGTATAGATGATATCTGACAGTGATTAAAATCACTATCATAAGAAACGCTTCGATGCAAATCTGTAGATAGTGTTTCATTTAGAGAAATTGGTGGATAATTCCAAAAGCAACATCAACTCTTATTTCTTTAATTATATNAATTCTAAAAGCAACATCAACTCTTATTTCTTTAATTATATCCTGATTTGTAGTTCTTTGATTTTAAAATATAATATATGAATAAATACTAATTATAATTATTAAATTTAGTATATAAATAAAAAAGTAAAAAAAATTTAATAAGTTTAATTTCTTATGTCTTATGACCTTTATTCTATGTCAATTAAATTATATAATATTCATGAAAGCCAGTTTATTCCCCTAATAAGATATTTTAAAATAAAATAAAATACAAAACCCAGAATTTTAATAAAAAAAATAGCATATTTTTGAATACGGTAGCCTTTTGTGCATAGAAGATAGATCGTCGGGACAAATTTTTTTTTTTCATTTTATAGTACATAAAAGTAGCTTTAATTTGATATATGTTTAAAGGACGCAGTATTTCCGGAATATTTTCAAAAATTAAGTTGAAAAAGTTAGTTGCTATTTGAATCCTCCCGATGTGAGGTGAAGTGTTAATTTTTCAAAAAAAATGATATCAAATGAAAGAAAAATATCTAAGGTTTTCGTATAAAAAAAAATATGTTAATTTGTTGATTTTTGAAAAAGTTATAGAAGTTTTAAGAAAAAAAAGTGAAAAAAATGACAAAATTTACTGATTTTTAAATTTGTAATTTTTTTGGATATTTCCCCCATTTGCGGGGAACGAGGGAAAATTTTTAAATTTTAAAGGGTAATGTCTTTAACTAGATACGATTTGTGATCCTTTGACATATTGTTGAAAGAAATCGGTCCAGTGAGAGCTGAGAAAATGTGGCAACAGACATAAAAAAAAAATAAATAAATAAACACATCATGGTAAAATTAATACCTTCTCAGTTTTGCATCGAAGCTAAAAATTATTGTAAAAATATCTTTTTATGTTAAACCATTTTTAAATAATCGTCATTTTAAGGTTAGAAAAGTTTCCTATTTAAAGACAGATTTTGCTATGATCATTTTTATAAAATTAATTTTATAAAGATGATATCAATTGTAAATTACCTGTAAATTTATTTAGAAAAAAAATTTTTTTATTAAAGCATGTAAAAATAACTTATATGGACATTTTAAAAATTGCTCTCTTATAAGCGATCTTTTATTAGGGTAGTTATAGAATATTGCATTATCGGTCAATGCATATCATAATGTTTTCGGACTTTTTCCTATAAAAGTTTTAGCATTGGTATCTAAAATACAGTTATGTATTTATTAAAGTGATCACTTTTATCTATGACCGCCAAAACGTATTTAAAATTACCAGTGGTCATTACAACATTATAATTCAATACGCAAACAACGTTTACAAACTTATTTCTATAAGAATTGTAGTCTACTTTTCAACTATCAACTAATAATTATTTTTAACTCAGGTTAAAGTAACTTGTCCATATATTTTCTAATATTACAGCTGATCTATTGACAGTTAAAAGATAGTTTGAGGTAAATTAAAGACTATAAAGTAGTTTCTGTGACGCATCATTTTTCGATTTTTACTTATATACTCATGCTGAAACTAACCTTAAGTAGTTAACCTGTGCAGACTTAAGATTATTTTTAATACTTCATTAAGTTATATTTTAGCTGCGATGCAAATCTGAAAAGGTATTAATTTTACCATGATGCATTTATTATATTTTTTGTCTAAAGTCTAATAAAAATTTCAAGATTTTAATTCATAGATGCTACTATAAAGAATATTTAAAAAGGGTTAAATGCATCTTTCCCCATTTTAAAAATAATTTAAATAACAATAAACATAATTTTCTCAATTTTTAAAAGACTAAGCCACTTCCTTAGTTTCACATATGGTTGTATTGCTCTGTATACTACATTTAAGGAAAATTTAGCATGTAAGTGTATAATTAAATTAACAGCGGGAGCATTCACTTAAGTCGAGACATTTAAAATAGTTATCTACATTAAAACTCATCACGAGCCGCATCATTTATTAGTGCCTGAATTCAATTATAATTTATCTGTAAGTGAAACAACCCTAACCGTAGGCAATGCAATAATTGGTCGTAGTTGATTAACCGATAACCATTTACAAACTGATTGTTGTAATATTATTATGTTATTATCAAATATAGTATTTTTAAATTTTGTTATTCAAGCGAAAAATAGCAGATAATATCATACCAATTTTAAATTCACAGTTCAAGTATATTTTCAAAATGAATGAATATTTAAAGAATCTTCTAATTTCTATGGTATTTTTTACTGTTTGCTAAAATTTTGAACAACTGATATTTTATTTAAGTGGCAAGTTTAGAATTCAAGTTAAATAAGAATATTAATTGTTGATGGATTAGTTTTATAATTAACATTTTTTCATTACTTAGATTAGTAAATTTAGTCAACATTTTTTACAACTGTATTGATAGTAAATAAGTTAGAAAATTTTACGATTGTTAATAATTTTTACTTTTAATAAAATATCTTGATACATTATGGGTGATTTTTTAACTTTTGTGTTTCCTATTTGTTAAGGTAAAACCTCTTAGTTATATATTTTGTTTAAGCGTCGGACGCTCAATACACAAAAAATATGGCACAAAGCACCCACGCTTTTATCAC